GTAATACAAATGTGTGTGTGTGTGTGTGTATGTGTGTGTGTGTGTGTATATATATATATTTCCATTTATTCATTTTAGAGAATGAGGAAGGGAGAGGGAGAGAGAAAGAGAGAAATATCAATGAAAGAGAACATCGATTAGCAGCCAGTGGGGACTGGGCCCACAACCTGGGCATGTGCACTGCCCAAGAATCAAACGAGTGACCTCTTGATGCATGGGTTGACGCTCAACCACTGAGCCATACTGGCCGGGTTACAAAAATATTTTTAATGTATAAGTGACTTAAAAAAAAAAAAAAAGAAAAATTTCCAGGTATCAATAGCCAAGCCGCTCAGGGAAAGGTAAATTAAAAAGTTGCCATCTACCAGATGTATGGTAATAAAAAAGCCCATCTCTGTTCATGGATTTTGATGGAGAAATGGTGAATGGTGAATTTTTTTTCTTTCCTTCTGGTGTAGAAATTCCCAAAGCAATAAACTAATATATACATTAGAACATGTTAGTGCCTAGTGATACCCTAGAAAGTCTAGTAGTGCAAACACAAAACTATCCTGGAGATTCTCAAGAAAAGACAATTCAGCTAAAGATTATCTAACAACCAAAAATTATGAACCTGCACAAGGAAAAATAATATACCATAACCAAATATTAACAGGTACAAAAACAGGAATATTAGAAGCCCTAACAACTCCATAATTGTAAAATGTGAGGCTATAAAAAAACTTGGTTTTTAAAGATTAAAGAATTAGGGTGGAAAAGAAATAGAAACCATAAGAAAAGAATAGGATACTATTTTTGAAAACAAAACTAGGTGAACTTTAAAAGTGAAACAAATAGAACACAAAGAAATGAAAAATATAAGCTCTGGAATCAAATATTCAATAGAAGGATTAAACAGCACATTAGACAAAAATACAGATGAGTGAATCAGAAAATAATTTTAATAAAAGGAAATTATCTAAAATACAGGACCTTAAGGAGAAAGAGAAGACAATAAATGTAAGAAATTAAAACAGACATACAAATGGCCAAGAGACATATGAAGAAAAATTCAACATCACTAATCATCAGAGAGATGCAAATTAAAACAACAATAAGGTATCACCTCACACCTGCCAGAATGGCTGCCATCAACAAATCATCAAACAACAAGTGCTGGCAAGGGTGTGGAGAAAAAGAGACTCTAGTACACTGCTGGTGGGAATGCAGACTGGTGCAGCCACTATAGAAAACAATATGGTGTTTCCTCAAAAAATTAAAAATCGAACTTCCATTTGACCCAGTGATCCCACTTCTAGGAATATACCCTAAGAAGCCTGAAACACCAATCGGAAAGAATATACGTACCCTATGATCATAGCAGTACTATTTACAATCGCTAAGATCTGGAAACAGCCCAAGTGTCCATCAATAGATAAGTGAATAAAAGATCTGTGGTACATACACACAATAGAATACTATGCAGCTGTAAGAAAGAAAGATCTCTTATCCTTTGAGAGGACATGGAGGGATCTGGAGATATTATCCTAAGTGAAACAAGCCAATCAAAGACAAATATCAAATGACCTCACTTACTTTTGGAATATAATGAACAAAACAAACTGATGAACAAAATAGACCCAGAGACATAGAAGTAGGGTACAGACGACAAATCTCAGAAGAGGGAGTGGGGGGTGGGGATAAACAACAGAACTTATATGCATGTATGTATAACCAATGGGCATAGACAACAATGCTGGGGACGGGGTGGGAGAGGGATCAGGAGGAGGGTGTCAATGGGGAAAAAAAGAGAAACATCTGTTAAAAAAAAAAAAAAATTCATAAAAAAAAAAATTAAAACAGATGCAGGACTGAATAAGGTGGTCCAACACATGTCTAACTTAAGTTCCAGAAGGAGGCAACTGTGTGGAGAGTTGGGTCACTCCTAAGTAAGATAAATAAAAGTCTCCAGCAATGGTCGTTAACCCTGGATGCACGCACTATAGATGTATCACCTAAGAAGTTTTAAAAACAAATAAAAAGTAGTACCACACAGAGATTTTAGAATTGCTGTGGGTTAAGTAGTGCCATCTGTATTTTCTTCAAAGCTCCCCAAACTATTTTAGTGAGCATCCAAGGTTGAGAACTTGCAATCCATACCTAGGCATAGTTAGTGAAACTACGGAACAAAAATAAAGAGAAAATATTAAGAATAACTACAGAGAAGTGGTACTATCTACAAATAACCTAGACTGACAATAGACTTCTCAACAACAGAAGCCAAAAGAATAAAATAGTACATTCAAAGTGCTGAGAGAGCCCTGGCCGGTTTGGGTCAGTGGTTAGAGCGTTGGCCTGCGGTCCAGAGAGACCGGGGTTCCCTTCCCGTAAGGGCATGTACCTCAGTTGCAGTTTGTCCCCGGCCCTGGTTGGGTCGTGTGGGTGGCAGCCACTCAATTTATTTCTTTCACGTCGATGTTTCTCTTTCTCTCTCTCTCTCTCCCTCCCTCCCTCCCTCCCTCTCCCTCCCTCCCTCCCTCCCTCTCCCTCTTTCTCCTTCCTGCTCTATCTGAATAAAAAATGGAAAAATGTCCTCGGGTGAGAATAAAAAAAAAAAAAAGCAAAGTTTTGAGAGAAAACAACTATCAACCTAGAATTCTAAATAGCTATCATTCAATAGTGAAATGGACATATTTAGTCAGTGTGAGAGGTTACCATTTATAGAGCTTTGCTGAAATAGCTACTAAATAGGCTGTGCTCCAGGAAGAGAAACATTGAACTTAGGAAATGGGATACAAGAGGAAATCCAAAATATAAAAACAAAAACTGCTGCTGCTTGTTAAACTCAGATCTCATACTTCTTTTTTTCCCTAATCAATCAACCAAGATGTAAATCTTTCTAGTCATCCATTACACTATGTAAACACGACTAAACAAACTAATTTACCTCAATTATAAAAATAAGAACAAACATATGGGCCCTACCATAGATGTACTATAACTCTGGGGGTAAAGGCAGAAATATTTAAAAAAAAAAAAAAATTTTTTTTTTATCCTCATCCAAGGACATTTTTCCATTGTCTGTTCAGATAGAGTGGGAGGGAGGGAGAGAGAGAGAGAGAAACATCGACGTGAAAGGGACACATCGAGTGGTTGCTACCCTCACAACCCAACCAGGGCTGGGGACAAACTGCAACCGAGATACGTGCCCTCAGCGGGAACCGAACCCAGGTCTCTCTGGACTGCAGGCCATCGCTGTAACCGCTGAGCCAAACCGGCAAGGGCGGCAGAAATATTTTTTAAAAGCTCACCAGATCAAAAGGACAACCAGGCTTAAGAAGTTCATATTCTAGCATTTCCTTTATCCAGTAGTTCTCAAAGTATGGTTCCTCAAATGGCAGCATCATCTTTACCTGGGAACAGGTAGAGATGCAAATTCTCAGGACCTACCCTGATCTACTGAATTAGAAATTCTAGGGATGGACTGAGCAATCAAACTTCATTTAACCAGCCCTCCAGGTAATTCTGATGCCAGTTCAAGTTTGAGAAAGCTGCTTTAGTCTCATGCTCACATTATCTGTCCACACTTCTACATGAACAAATACCCTGCTGTTGCCCTGTCTACAAAAATCTTTCCATTTAGTCCTCTAGATCAATGTACCATGGTGGACCAATTCCCATATATTAATTTCTTTTCATCTTTTGCCTTGACTGAACCTGGCTCACCTCTCTCATTGTCCTTACAAAAAGGCTGTTCACTCTCCCACACCCCATGTAGGTCAGGGTCTGGAAAGTGAAGTCCACTCATTCCATAACTCCCTGTAACTCCAAAAACATGTGGATAAAAATCTCAGCTTTTAAGAGACTCTCCACTCTCATGGCTTCAGCTGTCAACTGTGTATGATAGTCACTTCCAAATTTCTCTCATGATGTTGAGAGAAGAACCCACTGTCAACCTGATACTTTCATCTGCATGTTCCAGAGGAACTCAAACTCAATATATAAAAATCTGAACCTGCTGTGTTGCCCAACTCTATTCTTCCTGTATTGTCTAATATAAGTGAGTGGCACCACCACCTATACAATTATCCAAGTCTAAAACCTGGAAATCATCAATAGAATCTCTTATTCAAACGTTAATCACTAAACAGCAATCACCAATAACTACCAATTTTACCTTCTGTAAGTTATCCAATTCTTTCCGTCACAGCCACTACTGCTACAGTAGAAAGAGTCTCTTAACTGCTCAGTCCTTCCAGTACTACACTTCCAAGTCATTTTACAGTCTCCAAATTTCAAAAATACTTATTTTTCAATCAAGTGGTACCTTATAAGATATAAATTATGTTTCAATTTTTAAAAATGTCATCTTAAAATTTAATACTACTATTCTAAATTCATCATCATTCAAAGAAGCACAGAGTTTGAATCTAGTTCTTTTACTCAATTGTCCGGAGTCACAAACTTATTGATAGTTTTATCACAGCTGTGTAACACACAGAACATCAAACTAAAAATGAATTATCAAATTAAAACCAAATTAATCCTTAACATTTAAGAGAGCTGTTACTTAATATCATATATATGAACTTCACTACAATAAATTTTAGTTTTTATTATAAATAGTTGCACTTCAACATATGTTTATAAGATGAGCAAAATAAGAACACCGTAAAAAAATTTTTTGGAGCCCTGGCCAGTTTGGCTCAGTAGTTAGAGCATCAGCCTGCGGTCCTGAGATGCTCTAACATCTAACCCGGGTTCAGTTACCGCTATGGGCACGTACCTCGCTTGCAGTTTGTCCCCGGCCCTGGTTGGTCGTGCAGGTGGCAGCCACTCGATGTGTCCCTTTCACATCGATGTTTCTCTCTCTCTCTCTCTCTCTCTTCCTCCCACCCTACCTCAACAAAAAAATGGAAAAAAATGTCCTCGGGTGAGGATTAAAAAAAAAAATTTTTTTTGGAAACCCATGGAAAGAAAACATTTCAGATTTTGAAAAAATGAAAACTCACCATACACACCTGTAGAAGAAGTTGAACTGTTCATGGTAAAAGGTCCGTTAATGATGCCAGAAGAAAGAAGCTCATCAGATCCCCGCTGAAAAGCAAGAGAAATATTCTGTTAACGAAACAAGTCTCAAATAATGATCCATATTTACTACTAAAAGTATAAAAACCAGTATTACTTCATCTGAATTTCAAGGCATTTAAGGAGAAGTCCTTAAGAATCACAAAAGCTAAAGGTTAAAAGTGAACTGTATAAAGAATTACTGCATATCCACATGATTTTTTAAAAAATTTTTTTTCCTTTATTGATTTTAGAGAGAAGAAGGGAGAGGGAGAGAGAGATAGAAACACCAATGAGAGATAACATTAATTGGCCACCTCCTACATGCCACCTCCTACATGCCACCTCCTGCATGCTACCCACTTGGGATTTGGCCCACAACTTGGGCACATGCCCTGACCAGAAATCAAACCGCTGACCTCTTGGTGCATGGGTTGACACTCAACCACTAAGTGACACCAGCTGGGCTACATTACAGTTATTAAAAAACAGAACTGCCATCACATTATTGGGAGCATAATCCAGCACCCTTTTTAAATTAAAGCCAATTCTCTGATATGTTACATAAGAAGTACCAGAAACCATATTTAGCAATTGCATCCTGATGTTGTTTCTGTAGTATATTTTTAAGTACATTTAGTATATTAAGTACATTTAGTATAATGAGTATGTTAAGTTTTTGTAATATATTTGCATGTGAATATTTTGGGCAGCATGCCCTAAGAATTCTGATTTTTCAGATACCTTCTTTTTTTAGGTTGAACATAAAGATGTAATTATTTCCATATTGGCCAAATCCTTCTTTTATTCAGCAATTTTTTTCATCCATTAATATTCTAAATGATCCTTAATATATATTACTTTTTCAACTACTATTTAAGTAGTATATGCTATTTTTCAGGTAAGAGTTTTGACCAATTCCAAAGCTGAATGATCAGTGCCAAAAGACAAGTCAGACTTTTCACTGTAACCCTAAGACCTATTACCAAGATTTAAGTTTACATTTAAGAAAGATAGCCCTGGCTTGTTTGGTTCAGCAGTTAAGAATGTTGGCCCATGGACCAAAGAGTTGTGGGTTCGATTCTGGTCAAGGTTGCAGTTCGATCACCATCCTGGTTGGGGGTCATGCGGGAGGCAATCAATCAATGTGCCTCTCTAACACCAATGTTTCTCCTCCTCTCCTCCCTCCCATTCCATCTGAAAAATCAATGAAAAAATATCCTTGGATGAAGATTTAAAAAAGAAGAAGAAAGATAATAAATACTGTGCACAAAGTTAAAACTAACCTATTTAAAACGTTTCTGTTTAACTTGGTCAATTTTTAAGAACAAATATTTTGATCTACTAGATGATAAAACTTAATACCCAAACTATCCTCCAAATATTAGAACAGCAATAGTACTATAACAGATATTTAATGTTTAGGAGTAAGTACCACTCCTGGAGGGAACAACTTCAGTCTTTGCTGAAGAAAGGCAAACTACCAATGTGTTTGCCTAATAGAAATACAATTCTTTGAACAATTCTTATACTACACATATAGAAACTATTCCCTTTGGTTCTTTCACAAGATGTTTATAGAGACAGCTTGAGACCAGAGGAAGAAATCAAGTAAGCTTATAAGATGAAATAAAATTGAAAATCTTAAATTCCAGAAAGATGGGAATTACAGTCTCACTTAAAGCAGAGATCTTTCTGATAACATCTGAAACACATATATTGGTAGCCAAAGACAGACTTTGTTTACTACCTGTGGATATAAAAAGACGAATTTTTTAAGTTTTAAATGCAGTTAAAATTTAAATGTGCCCAACATGTTCTTATGTAAGAGGAATTTGGTGAAATATGTGTTACTAATAGATATATCTTCAACACATGTGAATTTAGTGTCAATGTTTCTACATGTAAATTGAGTTAATTTGATCTTAGAAACCACTTAGAAATCACTTTAGTTCTTTTCCAGACTTGACGGAGTATGTTAAAATGTCAAATAAATGTTAATTCTACGTGGTTTACAGATTGAAATGCAAAAGTCAAAGCAATAAAGACTCTAAAAGATAATGAAAAGAGTATCTTCATAATCTCAAAGTAGGGAAAGATTTATTAAACAAGAAACAAAAACACAATTATAAAGGAAAATATCAATAAATATTGATTGGCCACCTCCTGCATGCCCCCTCACTGGGTATTTGGCCCACAACCTGAGCATGTGCCCTAATCAGGAATCAAACCGGTGACCTCCTGGTGCATGGGTCGATGCTCAACCACTGAGCAATACCGGCCCAGCAAATATATCTCCATTATTAAAATGTTTATTTAACAAAAGACATCACTAGGAAATTAAAAAGGCTTGTCATACAGTGAGAGTAAATATCTGCAACACATATAACCAACAAAAGTTTTATATCCACAACTTACTAAGCAAAAGAAAACAAGAGGAACCCCCCCCCCGCCACCACACAACGAATAAGAAAAGTCAAGAATAACAGAAAATGACAAAAAGTTGAACAAGCACCTCATAAATAAGGTGGTAGACTATTTACTGTTCCAGAGTACTTGCGCCCTATGCTTTTTCTGTGAAAGCACTGTTCATCCCCAGCCATGGCCACATGACTTGTAATGCCTCCTATGAGAAAAGGATACCTCCCTGGTCCACTGACACTGAGTATGATTTTATGATATGTGTTGGCCTAATGGAATATGAACAGACATAACCTATACTAAATCCAAGCAAAATCTTCACAATATATTAGTAGTTTCTGCTAGTTTTTCTTCTTTCCCTCTGACACAAGAACATATCCCAAATAAAGGCTGCTCTTTCAGTCTGATTCCCAAAACAAGAATATATATATAGCTACACGAGGGCCACAAACATGGTAAGTAAATGAATGTTTTTTCCCCAGCCATATCAAAACAACTAACACTTTATCCAATAAACATATATACAAAGATGCCTAACCTCTTTGGTCATCAGGGAAATGCAAGTTAAAACAACAATGAAATATTAGTGTATTAAAAATGTTTAAAAGACTGAAATATCAAGTTTTGATAAGAATGTAGAGACAGAACTCTTACATGTTGCTAGAGGAAGCATAAATTGAGAAAATTTTGGAAAAATGACCCAACATACTATATCTGACTGTATGAATATCTAGGATCCTTACATATTCTATTCCTGTGGATACACGTAAGAAACTGCCCGTTGATGTGCTCCTAAATATATGAGAATGTTCTCAGCAGCATTATTTCTACTAGCCAAACTGGAAACAGCCAAATGTCATTAAATATAAAACAAAATAAATGAATAAATTTTTATAAATACATTCAGTAATTTATAGCAATGAGAATGAACTATTGCTCTACACAATAACATAAATGTATCTCATAGTCACAAAAGAATGCATATTATATTATTACATTTCTATAGAGTTCAAAATTATAGTTAAAAATAAATTATTCATCTAAACTATATATCTAAATGCAAGAGATGGACTTTCGGTCAAGATGGCGGGTAGGTAAACACGGTATCGTGACCTCCCACAACCACATCAAAGTTACAACTAAACTACAGAACAACCATCATTCAAAACCGCCTGAAATCATCCTGAATGAAAGTTCTACAACTAAGAAATTAAAGCAGCAGCCACATCCAGACTGGTAGGAGGGGCGGAGGCAGGAGGGCAGGTCCCACACCCACATGTGGCAGATAAAAATCAAGAGAATACCTCAGCCCTGGCCGGTTTGGCTCAGCGGTTAGAGCGCCGGCCTGCGGTACAGAGAGACCCGGGTTCGGTTCCAGCTAAGGGCACGTACCTCGGTTGCAGTTTGTCCCCGGCCCTGGTTGGTCGTGCGGGTGGCAACCACTCGATGTGTCCCTGCACATCGATGTTTCTCTCTCTCTCTCTCCTTCTCTCTCTCCCTCCCGCTCTGTCTGAACAAAAAATGCAAAAATGTCCTCGGGTGAGGATAAAAAAAAAAAAGAGAATACCTCAGCTGGGAAGGTCCTTCCTGAGGACTGAGGGGTCCCCGTCCCACACCAGGTGCCCCGCTCAGGGTTCCAGTGCCAGGAAGAGAATCCCCATAACTTCTGGCTGGAAAAACCAGCGGGAACTGAGGCCCAGGGAAGCCGACGCGGCTGGAGCCCCAGGCAGCTCCTTAAAGGGCCCGTGCACGGACTTATCGGACTCTCTCCCTCTAAGCTTGGAGGGGAGGCCGCTGGAGGGGCACCAGAGACATACAGGGAAGAACTGAGCTGTTTGGCACTGGAGCAAGGGCTGGAGAGGGGGCTTTCTCCAGGACAAACGTGCTGTCAGAGGCCTTTGTTCTTTGGTGAGCCCTTCCCTGGGGCAGCAGACAGCCGCCATATCTGGGACTCCAGCAACCAGGCTCACACTGGTAGCCCCGCCCTGGTGACTCCCTGAGGCCCCGCCCCACCCCACCCCACCCCACCCCACCCCACCCAACTTTCAGGTCCACCCAAGCTTCACCATAGGATTGGCCTGTCTTGGACCCTGCTTCCGGGTTTTTCCTAAATTCTTTCAAACGAGCAGCATCTGGTCTCAGCTAGCCCTGTACCGCTCGTTAAGTAATACACAGAAACAAACACAGGGAGGTAGCCAAAATGAGGAGACAAAGAAACAGGTCCCAAATGAAGGAACAGAACAAAACCCCAAGAAAAGAACTAAGTGAAATGGAGATAAGCTACCTAACAGATGCTGAGTTCAAAATACTGCTTATAAGGATACTCAATGAACTCAGTGAAAACCTCAGTGAACTTAGTGAGGGCCTCAAGAGCATAAAAAAGGACCAGTAAGAATTGAAGGAGGCATTAACTGAAATAAAGAATAATTTACACAGCTTCAATACTAGAGTATGTAAATCCAAGAAGCAAACCATTGATTTGGAATATAAGGAAGCAAAAAACGCCCAATCAGAACAGCAAAAAGAAAAAAGAATCCAAAGAAATGAGGATAGTGTAAGGAGCCTCTGGGAAAACTTCAAGTGTGCCAACATTCGCATCTTGGGGATGC